TTTTAAACTCGAGTCACTGCTGCATCTGTTTCTATTGACTTTCCTCTGCTGCTGCTGCTGCTGCTGCTGGTTTTATTACCTGGTCCTGTCACTCCCATGCCTGGATGTTTTTGACTGAATGCTTGGCATTGTGAATACAAATTTACAGCGGGCTTGGGTGATGTTGTCTCCTCTGGAGATGACTTGCTTCTCTTTAGGGTGGTAGTTAGGGTAGGGGCGACTGCCGTGACCCCTTCAGGGCCGGGACCACTGGAGGCCGCCAGTCTCTATGAGGCTGCTCTCTTCTGGTCCCCTCACTCCCAGGCTGCAGCATTCAAGGGCATCAACAGAAAGCCTGATGCAAGTTCTTCCCTCCCAGCTCTGACTCTCAGGCACCCTGAGGCTGCCTCAGGGAAGCATGAAGTCTCCTTCTCCCTGGGGCCATTGCCCCTCAAGTCCTAGCTGCGTTGGTTACCCTCTGGCACCTTTGAACAGCCACCTGTTCCTCTGACCCAGCTTTGAAAGCAACTCCCAGGAGCAGGTGCGCTTGGACCATGCGGCCCTGTGGTCAGATCCCTCACTAATCTCCCCTTCATTAATCCCATCCAAATGTGGCCACATTCTGAGTTCGTCCTGGTGAATTTCAGGGACTCTCTTCAACTCAGTGCGCCGTCCCCCACAGAGCAAGCCACCATCCTGCTGGGGCAGCCTTGGCCGCTTTGCCCCCGCTGGCCCCATGACACTGCCCCCAGTCATTGCGCCTCCAGGAGGGTCCTCAAACGCTGCAGCCCTCCATCCTCAGGCCTGGAGTTGGCTGCTTCTCTGCCTGTGTGCCCCTGCCTGCACCCCAATATGCCAGGATCTCCCCACACCTCCTCATTCTACCATCACCTCACGGAGACGTCCTGGTCACACCATGAGGCGTTGCTCACGCCCTCCCTGGCACTCCACAGCCTTGAGGGGCACTGACCACAGGTGCCTCCGCCCACTGTGCCTCCCGACCAGACTGCAAGCCCCCCAGCCAGGGCTCATCCCGGTTCACAGCTGTGTCCCGCAGGTCTGCAGTGCCTCCTGGCTCGAGGTAGGCCTGGATCCTGTTGGGGGAGGGGCAGCCTTCATGACGAAGGGTCTCCCCGGCTGTTTTCAGACCAGGCTCGCCTGCCGGGCTCCTGATCACCTTCCTGGGCAGCCTCTCCAGGAACCCAGGAGCCAGAGGACGGCTGATGTCATTGAATTCCGGAATCCGTCATGACCGGGAAGTGGATGCCTGTGGTTTGTGGGCTCAGCTGACGGCCGACACCTTTGGGGCTTTGTCACTCCTCACACGGGGAGGCTGATGAGAGCCAGGAGCTCTGCGGTGCCTCCGGCTGGCTGCTCCAGCAGGCGCTGAGCTCCAGTTAACCTCCCTGGCCCTGGGGAGCCGGGCGTCAAGGCTGGGGCTGGGGGTTGCTGGCATCGGTACCCAGGCTCAGCCTGCAGGTGACAGGCCCCGAGGGGGAGGGGAGCACCCCGCAGCCCTGCCGCTCCCTCTGGGTGCTTGGCCTGCACCCTGCCCAAGGAAACTAGGAGCCGTGGTCGTGAGAAGGGCAGAGGAAACCCCTGGCCAGCTAGTTAAGCATCCCAAGTGCATCCCAGGGACTGGGCAGGGCAGAGCAGGCTTGGTCAGCAGTGATGGGGTGGAGAGATGCCTGCTCAGAGTCCGCACACAAGACAGCTGTAGCCAGCTCTGCTCCCCGGGCCTCCTGGGAGGCCCCGTCTGAGTTCCTGGGCCAGACGAAGAGAGGTGGGTGGAGTTAGGGGAACAGCTCTTGGCGCTGAGTGGACAGTCAGTCTTAGGTCCTGAGGAGGGAGGGTTAGGAGTTAAGGTTAGCTGTGATTGGTGGTGGGGGGTGGGGGGTGTTGTTAGGATTAGGATTAGGGTAGATGTGATGGGTGTTGGGGGGTGAGGGGGTATTACGTTTAGGGTTAGCGCTAGGATTAGGGTTGGGGTACATGTGATGGGTGTTGGGTGTGGGGTGTTGTTAGGATTAGGGTTAGGGTAGATGTGATTGGTGGTGGAGGTGGGGGGTGTGGGGTGTTAGGATAGGGTTGGGGTAGATGTGATGGGTGTGGGGGTTGAGGGGGCGGGGGTATTAGGATTAGGGTTGGTGTTGAGGGTGTGGTATGTTGTTCAGTTTAGGGTTGGGGTACATGTGATGGGTGTGGTGGGTGTGGGGTGGGGGTGTTAGGTTTAGGGTTGGGGTACATGTGATGGGTGTGGGGGTGAGGGGGTGGTGTGTTAGGATTAGGGTTGTTGTTGGGGTGTGATATGTTGTTAGGATTAGGGTTGGGGTACATGTGATGGGTGTGGAGGGTGTGGTATGTTAGGTTTAGGGTTGGGGCACATGTGATGGGTGTGGGGGGTGGGGGGCAGGGTGTTAGGATTAGGGTTGTTGTTGGGGTGTGATATGTTGTTAGGATTAGGGTTGGGGTACATGTGATGGGTGTGGGGGTGAGGGGCAGGGGTGTTAGGATTAGGGTTGTTGTTGGGGTGTGATGTTAGGATTAGGGTTGTTGTTGGGGTGTGATGTTAGGATTAGGGTTGGGGTACATGTGATGGGTGTGGAGGGTGTGGTATGTTAGGTTTAGGGTTGGGGTACTTGTGATGAGTGTGGGGGTGAGGGACGGGGGTGTTAGGATTAGGGTTGGTGTTGGGGTGTGATGTTAGGATTAGGGTTGGGGTACATGTGATGGGTGTGGGGGGTGAGGGGCGGGGGTGTTAGGATTAGGGTTGGTGTTGGGGGTGTGGTCACGGGAGGATTTGGCTTTTATTATTGGGGACGTTCTGCACTGAGCTGAACAGGGCCCCAGCACCAGCCTCCTCCTCTGACCCGATGCTATTTAGACCTCTCCCCCCACCCCTGTGTCCTTGGAACCCCTCCCTCTGCCCCGTGCCTCTCCCTGAGTTTGCTCTTCTCTGGGGTAAGAGTGAGGGCCGCCTTTGACTTCCAGGCAGGCAGCTTGGAGGATGGGCAGGGCGAGGAAGTGGACTCTGCCTCTTGCAGGGAATCTGAGGCCAGAGGCGGCTCTGAGCAGCCCAGCTGTGCAGGGGGCAACTGGTGGAGGGCTGCGGCCACCCCAGGGCTCTCCTCCATGCTAAGCCAGCATCTGGAAGGCCAAGGGGAGCCGGCTGCAGATGGGATGGGAGCCAGGGTGACCAACCACTCATGTTCCCCAAGATGAAGGGGGCCATGGGGGGTCCCAGGCAAACGTGGGAGATCTGTCACCCTCTGAGAGCAGAGTCCAGTGGGGACGACGTGAGTCTGGGCAGGACCCCTGGGAGGGGCAGCAGGTCAGGGGGCCCCCTGGTTTCCAAGGAGCAGACATTGCCGGGGAGAGGAAGGTGCTGACCCTGGGCAGAGGCCCAGGCTGAGGAGAGTGGGGTCAGGGCCACCAGGAGCAGCCAGGGGCAGTAGCCCCCACCTCACAGCAACACCTGGACAGACACCAGTGGGGGACCATAGAAAGGTCCGGGATCCATGGGTTATGCCCACCCACAGCAGACCCTGTGTGTGGGTGCGTGTGAACGTGTGTGTGAACATGTCTGTGTAGACGTATGTGTGGATGTGCATGTGTGCATGTGGATGTGTGTGTGAGAACATGGGTATGTGCGTGTGAACACGGGTGTGTGCGTGTGAGTGGGTGCGTGCGTGTGAACATGGGTGTGTGAGAGTGGGTGTGCACGTGTGAACAGGTGCGGCGTGTGAACATGGGTGTGAGAGTGGTGTGCACGTGTGAACATGGTGTTTGTGGATTGGTAGAACACGGTGTGTGCAGAGCAGATGTGTGTGCGTGAACATGCGTGTCCATGTGGCATGTGTGGAACATGAGTGTGTACGTGAACACGGGTGTGAGGCGTGTGAGTGGGTGTGTGCATGTGAACACGGGTGTGTGCAGAGGTGTGTAGAACATGGGGTGTGTGAGGAGTGGGTGTGCACGTGTGAACATGGGTGTGTGCTTGTGGACATGTGTGAGAACACGGGTGTGGGGCAAGGGGTGTGTGCGTGTGAGTGGGTGTGTGCGTGTGAACATGGGTGTGTGTGTGAGTGGGGGTGCACGTGTGAACATGGGTGTGTGCTTGTGGACGTGTGTGAGAACACGGGTGTGTGCGTGTGAGTGGCTGTGTGCATGTGAACACGCGTGTGTGCTTGTGGATGTGTGTGTGTGAACACGGGTGTGTGCGTATCATTGTGTGTTTGTGTATGAACATGGGAGCTCAATGCAGGTTCTGCCTCCCCCCAATCAGAGCTGCCCTGGCATCTGGCTTTGACCTTAGGATGGGGCGTGGTGACCTTGGGAGGCCGTGAGCTCTCCCCTCGAACTGTGGAAGCCCTGGGGACTCAGGGCCGCGTGAGAGGAGCCATGCCACAGCCGGCGACAGCTCCTGATGTGTGAGCGAGGCCAGGTGAGACCTCCGCCCAGCCGAGCAGCTGATGAAGCCACAGAGGTGACCCAGGGAGCTCAGCAGAGGGGCCTGGACAGCAACTCCCTGCACCTGAGACTTGCAGACCCTGGGCAAGCGCAGGTGTTCACCGCCTCGTAGCAGAGGTGACATGCAGACGCTGGGCCCCAGCACACTCACCTGCCAGAGAGGAGGTGAGGGCCCCATGGAGTGAGGGGTCCACGGGGGTGAGAGGCCTGGTGTGGTTGAGGGTCCTGTGGAGTAGAATGAGGAGCCAGCCCCTGCCCTTGCCCCAGGCTGAGCAGGACCACCTGGCCAGGGCGCATGGAGCTCCTGCTGCCAGGCGTTGTCCCCAGGACTTGGGGAGGCTGAGTCGTGCCCCAGACCTGTCTTGTCCCAGCCCCAGCACCCAAGAAGGTGCCCCTGTGTGGAGAAGGGAGCTCGTGCTGGATGGAGGTCAGACGTGGCCGCCGTGCTAATCCCCAGAGCCTGTGCCTGCGTCAGGTGACCGGGCGGGGGAGTGACGGCAGCAAACATTCAAACTGCTGATCAGCTGACCTTAAACACAGTTACCCGGATTATCTGTGGGCCCAGCGCAATCACAAGGGCCCTTGAACAGGGAGGAGGAGGCAGCAGACGAGGCCGGGAGACGCTGCAGGGAGACCACGGACGCAGCCGCTCTGAAGATAGAGGGAGCGCCTGGCCCAGGCGGGCCACTCCTGGGGCTGACTAGGTGGGTGGTGGGTCCTCCCCAGGCCCCAGCGGAGCTGGCCCCACTCACCCCATGCTGGGCTTCCGACCTCCAGAGCTATGAGATGACAAATCTGCACGGCATTGCGGTCACTTGCTCTGGAGGCCACAGGAAGCTCTCATATGGCAAGGCGTCAGGAGAGAGGGCTCCCGGCCTCCACGCCCACCCAGTCCTTGTGCCCGAAACCCCTTCCTGAGCCCATTTCTCCACCCGGAAGGGCTGGGCAGGGCCAGTGGGTCTCACACAGGTGGTACACTGGGCCCCAGGGGACCGAGCTTGGAAGGTGAGACTGCGGGACGGGGCGGAGCCCAGGAATTCATGCTTAGGAGGCACCTGACACGCCCTGCGACTCGAGGGCTGGCTGCTCCCGGCTCCCACAGACATGCACAGCGAGCTGCCTTTTCCCCGTAGCAGCAATGAGCAGGCAGGGCTCTCCTTCCTGGTTTGGGTTTCAGCCCCGGTGCTGCTGTTGCATTTTGGAGGGAAGATGGTTGTGGGGCCGTCCCGTGCGCTATGGGAAACTTAGCAGGGTGCCTGGTACGGTGGCCGGACTGCGCCTCCCACGGAAGATACACTCACATCCTAACTCAGGTACCTGTGAAAGTGACCTTATTAGGAAACAGGGTCTCTGCAGGTGTAAGCCCACTGAAGTCACGCTGGGTGGGCCCTAAATCCAATGGCCAGTGTCCCTGCAAGAGGAGACACAGAGAGAGAGAAGGTGTGCGCTTGGAGGCCAGGAACGGAGCAATGCAGCCACAAGCCAAGGATGCCTGGAGCCCCCAGGAGCTAAGAGAGGCAGGAAGAAGCCTCCGCAGGAGCCTCCAGAGGGAGCACGGCCCTGAGACACCGGGATTTCAGGCTTCTGCCCTCGGAAATGTGAGAGAGAAACCCCGTCGTTTTAAGCCCCAGGGACTTTGTGGCCGCAGCCCCGGAGGGTGACATCCCCACCCCACAGGCATCGATGCCCAGACCTGGCAGCCAGAGGCGTGTCCAAGCACCACCAGGTGTCCCCGGGAGCAAGAGCACCACCCTTGAGGCCGCTCTGGTCTGACGGGGTCCCCACGGCACCGTGCAGTGCCAGGACCCCATAGGACCACGGCCACCCAGTCCTCCTTGGTGGAGGGCACAGCAGGGGCAGGAGGCCAGGACCCCACAGGACCAAGTTACGTATTGCTCTCCAGAGGGGAGCACGGCCCTGAGACACCGGATTTCAGGCTTCTGCCCTCGGAAATGAGAGAAACCTGCCGCTTGGTTCAGGACTTTTTGTGGCCGCAGCCCCGGAGGTGACATCTCGCACCCCACAGGCATCGGCGCCCAGACCTGGCAGCTAGAGAGGGCGTGTCCAAGCACCACCAGGTGGCCTCGGGAGTAAGAGCACCACCCTTGAGGCCGCCCTCTGGTCTGACGGGTCTCACTGCACTGCAGCACAGGACCCATAGACCCACGGCTACCCAAACAGCCCTCCTTGGTGAGGGTACAGCAGGGGCAGGCCAGGGACTCCTGGCGGACCACGAAGCACCCGGGTCCTCCCTGGTGGAGGGCACAGCAGGGGCAGGAGGCCAGGACCTACAGACCACGGGCCACCCGGTCCCTCCCTGGTGGAGGCAGTGAGGAGGCCAGGACCCTACAGGACCACGGCACCCGGTCCTCCCTGGTGGAGGGCACAGCAGGGGCAGGAGCCAGGACCCCACAGGACCACGCCACCTGGGTCCTCCCTGGTGGAGGGCAGCAGGGGCAGGAGGCCAGGACCCACAGGACCACGGCCACCCGGCCTCCTGGTGGAGGTGACAGCAGTGCAGGAGGCCAGGACCCTACAGGACCACGGCCACCTCGTCCTCCCCCTCTGTGAGGCACAGCAGGGGCAGGAGGCCAGGACTCTACAGGACCACGGCCACCCGGTCCTCCCTGGTGGAGGGCACAGCAGGGCAGACCCACAGAAGGGACCCTGAGCCTGCAGGGAAGGCTCAAAATAGACCATGAGCAGCTCAGTCCATGTCTGCAGAGAGGGACTGTGTCCCTCGACCCAGATGGGACTGAAATGGACAAACAAAAACGTGAGAATAAATATTAGAAGGAACAGAAAGACAATGTTCCAGAGCAGCCTGTCAAAAGTCAGCAATGTGAAGCAGGAGGGAAGGCCAGGGACCAGCAGGACAGGTGTTGTGGGCGGCCTCCAGATGGAAGCGGGAGAAGCAGATGTGGGAAGAGGGGAGGTGACGGGAAGGTGAAGATGAGGCGGGTGAGTGGATTGGTGGGTGGACGGGCGGGTGAGTGGGTGGGCGAGTGAGTGGATGGCTGGGTGGGTGGGTGAGCAGGCAGGTGGGTGGACAGATGGCTGTGAAACTTTGTATCCTAATTAGAGGGAGATGCAGATACGTATTGAAATCTCAGCCTTGCCAGGCACGGCGGCTCACGCGTGTAATCCCAGCACTTTGGGAGGCCAAGGCGGGCGGATCACGAGGTCAGGAGATCGAGACCATCCTCGCTAACACGGTGAAACCCTGTCTCTACTTAAAAAAAATACAAAAAAATTAGCCGGGCGTGATGGCGGGCACCTGTAGTCCCAGCTACTTAGGAGGCTGAGGCAGGAGAATGGCGTGAACCCGGGAGGCAGAGCTTACAGTGAGCCGAGATGGTGCCACTGCACTGCAGCCTGGGTGACAGAGCGAGATTCCGTCTCAAAAAAAAAAAAAGAAAAAGAAAAGAAAAAGAAAAAGAAATCTCAGCCGTATGAATACAGGCATATATCGAATCCGGTTTCCACTCCTTCAAACATTCTGTGTGCTGTCAGTATTGATTGACCATTTCCCACACTCATGTAGCATTCACTGTGTGTCTGGCACTGTTCTCCACACTTATTTAATTTGAACTCATCTGGTCTTTGCAGCATCCACAAGGGAGGTGCTGCTATCCTCCCCCTTTACAGGTGAGGAGACTAAGGCTGAAGGATGGAGTGATCTGCCAGGATCAGTGGCCGAGTGCAGATATGAACGCTACCGGCGGCACCTCAGCCCTGCACTGGCCTCAGGCCCCGCACCACCTCAGCCCTGCACTGGCCTCGGGCCCCGACCATGCTCTGCTGGGTCCACCGCCCCACGGTGCACCCTCCATGCCACCAGCTCCCAGCTCATTTCCAGGGGTGGTGGTGCCCAAAAGCTGAGCCTGGGACAGGCCCCTGGGACCTCAGGGGTGAGGGGCAGGAAACTGAGCATCACGCTTTTGGCTTTCACAGCAAGAGGCTGCCTCTGCGTCCCACCCGCCCTTGAGGCGGACAATTCCCCACACAGGATGTGGGCTCAGATGCTGGGTAGGCAAAGAATGGCCAGTGGCCACCGCACCTGTCCTGTCCAGAGAGGGCAGGACGCCTCCCCTGTGACTGGGGTTTTATTAAATTTCTCTTGAAATTCCTTTTTTTTTTTTTTTTTTTTTTTTTTTTTTCAGAGACAGGGTCTTGCTCTGTCGCCCAGGCTGGAGCGCAGTGGTGTGATCTTAGCTCACTGCAGTCTGGAACTCCTGGGCTCAAGCCATCCTCCAGCCTCAGCCTCCCGAGTAGCTGGGACCACAGGTGCCACCACCATGCCCGGCCCGATTCCTCCAGTTGTGTGTGGTCTAGTTCTATTCCGCACTGGTCAGCACACAAAGGCTTATGTCTGTTGAACCTTTGGAAGGCACAGGACATTTTTATCCCTTTATAAACTCAAAACATGATCCTATCTATGTTTAAAAAGCAGACGTGAACAGCGGTGGACATGAGGAAAGGCCGGAGGCAGCAGCCAGCCCATCTCAGGCACGTCGCTGTGGAAGCAACAGCCGGAGGAGCCACAGAAAGCAGAACTCCCAAAGCCACCACGTACTTCGTGTCTCAGCTCGGATCTCCTGGAGACAGGCCCTGCAAAGGAGCTGGGTTGGGAGCAGGTTTATCGGGGCGTGATCTTAGGAGGCTGCCGTAGGAGGTGAGGAAGGCAGAGTGTGCAGAGTGCAGCTGACCCGACCGGCCAGGCTGACCCATGGGACGCCCTGGGCTGAGACGCTGTCAGCACTGCCCCAGGCTGAGACCACCTTGGGAGGGGTGTAACCTTGTGCAGGGCGGCTCTCCACAGCGGAGGGCAGTCCCAGGGGAGGACACAGCTGGGGACACCAGCAGCAACGTCCCAGCATACCCAGGGGTAGGAAGGGTCGGGGGGCCATCCAGTGCCCACGACCCTCATGAACACAAAAGCCAACCAGAGAAAACCGAGTCTCCAGCAAAGAGCCAAGCGCTGAGTGTGGAGTGTTCACCTGTCTGTCCCGTTGCCCACCTCTATCCCAGGCAGGCCCTCCCCGGTCTTGCCACCACACTGGACCACCGTGTGGACCCTGTGCTCACCCAGGCCTCACCTTTCAGCCCCCTAAGCTGGGCCCAAAGCAGCAGACTGTGTTGTGCAGATGCTGTGGTTCACGGCCCCCACTCCCTGCTAGGCAGAGGTGCCGGGTAAGACAGGATAACCAATAAAATTAGAACGTCAGAGAAACAGTGATTTTTTTTTTTTTTTTTTTTTTTTTTTTTTTGAGATGGAGTCTCCTTCTGTCACCCATGCTGGAGTGCAGTGGCACCATCTCAGCTCACTGCAAGCTCCGCCTCCTGGGTTCACGCCATTCTCCAGCCTCAGCCTCCTGAGTAGCTGGGACTACAGGCACCTGCCACCACACCCGGCTAATATTTTTGTATTTTTAGTAGAGACGGGGTTTCACCATGTTAGCCAGGATGGTCTCGATCTCCAGACCCCATGATCCACCTGCCTTGGCCTCCCAAAGTGCTGGGATTACAGGCGTGAGCCACTGCACCCGGCCAAAACACAGTGATTTTTGGCATGAGTTCATGGGGTGCATGAGACCAAAAAATTATCCATCGCCAGCAGGGGCTGAGGAGGAGGGAATGGAGAATTATCAGTTAACAGTTGCAGGGTTTCTCTTTGGGGCAACGAAGAAGTCTCAGAAACAGATGGTGGCGGCGACAGCACAACAGTGCGACTGGAATTAAGGCCGCTCCAGACACATTCACAATGGTTACAATGGCACATTTTATGCCGTATATATTTCACGACTCTTAAAAAATAACCCCAGTCGGGCGCGGTGGCTCACGCCTGTAATCCCAGCACTTTGGGAGGCCAAGGCGGGCAGATCATGGGGTCAGGAGATGGAGACCATCCTGACTAACACGGTGAAACCCCGTCTCTACTGAGAACACAAAAAATTAGCCGGGCGTGGTGGCTGCGCCTGTGGTCCCAGCTACCGGGAGGCTGAGGCAGGAGAATGGCGTGAACTAGGGAGGCGGAGCTTGCAGTGAGCGGAGATTGCACCACCGCACTCCAGCCTGGGCGACAGAGCGAGACTCCGTCTCAAAATAAATAAATAAATAATCAATAATCCCCAAAACCTCTGACTCTTACACTTTAAATGGAGAGTAATGTATGACAATTATACACAGCTCAACAAAACTGCTGTGTAAGCCGACTGGAGCCCTTCCCCGGGACTTGGGAACCAGACTGAGGAGGAAAGCTCACCTCTCTCCAATAGGGGGCGCTGTGGGGCACGTTTCCACGTTTCACGCCGCCTGGGAGAGGCTGTGCCTGGAAAGACGCGGGACACAGAGACAGGGACGCAGCAGGGGAAGCAGCTACGGAGTCTTGACCGCAGACCAGGCACAGCAGCTCACGCCTGGAATCCCAGCACTTTGGGAAGCTGAGACAGGGGTATCACCTGAGGTCGGGAGTTTGAGACCAGCCTGGCCAACACGGTGAAACCCTGTCTCTACTAAAAATACAAAAATTAGCCAGGCATAGTGGCAGGCGCCTGTAGTCCCAGCTACTCGGGAGGCTGAGGCAGGAGAATCACTTGATCCCAGGAGGCGGAGGTTGCAGTGAGCTGAGATCTCGCCACTGCACTCCAGCCTGAGCGACAGAGAGAGACTCCATCTCAAAAAAACACAAAAACAAACAAAAAACAAAACAAGTCCTAACTGCATGGAGCACGTCTGCACCCCACTTCCAGCTGCACCTGAGGCCCACCCACGCCTGACCTCCCAAGGAGTCCTCTGTTCAGCCTTCCTCCAACTGGACAACCTCCAGGATCCTTCCCGTGTGGCCCTTTTTCTGCCCAAGTCAGTTGAAGTTAAAGTTGGGTGTCTGCCATTTGCAGCAACAGCAAAAAAGGAACATTCAGAGACATGGGTGTCTGGAAGCTCGTTCACCTGTGGGTTCTCCATAACCTGAGATAAATGCTGGAGTTCAGGGCAGCTCAGGAAATGTCTGATATATAAACAAAGAAAAGGACAGCTTGGTTCCTGACAGCTGAGGGTGCCAGACCCCTCAGGTCCGTCTCCTGCCCTGAGCAGGCAGTTCGTGGCCTCAGCCCTGACTGAGGGGATGCCAGGAGCCTGGGCAGGGAGGATCAGGGCTGTAGTCCCAGAAACTGGAGAACTGGGCCATATCCCCCTTCCATGGCTCCCTCGGGCTTCTGGTAGGTGACAGTGGCATTCCAGACAGCATTCTTCCAGTAAGATGTGGCCTGCGGCGGAAAACTCAGCTTACGCAGCAAGGGAATGCAACGAACCGTGCATCTGTGAAGTCCACGAGCAGTGCCAGCTTCAGGTATGGATGCATTCCAGAGGCTACCCGTGTCCTCCGGTCTTTGTCTCTCTGTGTCCTTGCCCGCCGTCCTCCATGTGAGCATCCAGAAACCCAAGCCTACACCTCCTGCCCCAAGACCTGAGGGAAGGAGGGAACTTTATTCCACTCACTGCCATCGAGGTCCTGGGTCATGCCCCAAGACTGGGCCAATCACAGGGCAAAGAGGAACAGGGTGCTCCCACTGGCAACGCCTGAGGGACACACACACACCTGGACCCAAGGATGGAGTGGAACCATGGGCCGAACACAGGAGAGCAGCGTTTCCCAGAGGAAAACGGGAACTGTTGCCAAAGACAGGGCATGGTGCACAGTCCTACTGCCCACCGTGTGCCCACCCGCGCCTCCTCTGTCCTGCTCAGAGAGCCCCAGTTTTGTTCCAATAAGAGGCAGAAGCCTCTCGGTCTCAGGAAACATAGACTCCATCCCCCAGCCTTGTGATGAATTCTATTTGGATTGAGACAGTCACAGTAAGTCCATCACTCTTGCCTGATTTCCACTTTCCCAGCCTCATTTGCAACAAGCAATGCCATGAGACAGCCTTCTGGTCAATGAGATTTGAGAAGCCAGGGAGCTCCTGGCTGCTACACCACTGTTTACTTGCCTCTCTGCGCAGGGTGCTAGAATGCGAATATGATGCCTGGAGCTGCAGCAGCCTTGTTGGGTCAATAAGACATCAAGTAGGAGACGCAAGAGCCAACACTGCTAGTAATATTCTATTTCCTGATTGTTACATTTGTAACATGTAACACACAACATTTTGTGAGAATTCAAGGAGCTGCACATTTTTGTTAGTGTGTTACACCTCGCCAACACCGTGTCACACCTCGCCAACACTGCTACACCTTGCCAACACTGTCACACCTCACCAACACTGTGTCACACCTTGCCAACACTGTGTCACACCTCGTCAACACTGTTACACCTCACCAACACTGTCACACCTCATTAACACTGTTACACCTCACCAACACTGTCACACCTCGCCAACACCATGCCACACCTCACCAATACTGTTACACCTCGCCAACACTGTGTCACACCTCATCAACACGGTGTCACACCTCGCCAACACTGTGTCACACCTCGTTAACAGTTACACCTCATCAACACTGTTACACCTCACCAACACTGTGTCACACCTCATTAACACTGTTACACCTCATCAACACTGTGTCAAACCTCACCAACACTGTGTCACATCTCGTTAACACTGTTACACCTCACCAACACCGTGTCACACCTCGCCAATACCGTTACACCTCGCCAACACCGTATCGCACCTTGCCAACACCGTTACACCTCGCCAACACCGTGTCACACCTCACCAACACTGTTACACCTTGCCAACACTGTGTCACACCTCGCCAACACGTGTCACACCTCGCCAAAACAGTTAAGTAAAAATCTAACACCCTGAGGATGGCAGAGCAAACCCCTGAAAACATGGGTAAACTGGTTAACCAGCCTCACATACTGTAACTCTGAGCTTCTGATTAAGAGAATAAAATGGCTTTGTTGCTTAATTACTAAGTTTTCTAATACTTGAAGCTGAATGTATTCTTGATTAACCCAAAGAATGACTGGAGGCTGGGTGGCAAAATACTAAGGTGCACTCTTCAGGAAATCCCCACACCCCAAGGCTGACCCTGAAGAGCAGAGTTCCCTTCCTCTTCCTGCTGACGGGTGAACCGCCCAGCACAAGGGTGCTCAGCCCTGAGAACCATGCCTTCCCCATTCCCAGCTTTAGCAGGGAGCTTGCCATTGCTGGACAGAAACTCCACTCCAGATGTCTCCCAGCCTTAGTCTTGTTCCAGAGATGCTGAGATTCAAAAGGCCCTCTGGCCAAGCACCCAGAAGGTGAGCTCAGCTGTGGACGGGGATGCTGCCTGGGGACAGTAAACTACGAGGCTCTTTCCTGGTGCCAGCACATCCAGCTTTCTCTCCTGGGGGACACTTCTTCCCACAACCCCCTCCTTGTGAAAGCATAGTTGAGTTCTCTTTGAGAAAAGGAGTACAACAGAGATTGGACACAGGCATTCTGACCACCCATAAATACCAGCCAGTGACTCACAGTGTGCCTGAAGAGAAACAGGGGAGCCTAACTAGGAATCTGAACTGGATTAAATAGTACCACTATCACCATCATCATCAGCATCATCATCACCATCAGCACCATCACCATCACCATCAGCAGCAGCATCACCATCACCATCATCACCATCATTATCATCATCACCATCACCATCACCACCATCACCATCACCATCATCATCATCACCATCATCACCATCAGCACCATCACTATCACCATCAGCAGATCACTATCACTACTACTACTTTACTACATTACTACTACCATTGCCATTGCCACTATCACTTATCACGACACACATTACCACTTACTACTATCACTACTACTACCATTACTACTACTACTATCACTTATCATTACTTACTAATAGTATCATTTACCATTGACACGATTAATACGCATTCCATCATTACTTACCATCACTTACTTTCACCATCATCAATATCACCACCTACTACTAATACCATCATCACCACTATCACCAGCATCATCACTACTACCATCATCATCACCATCATCAGCATCATTTACCATCATCATCACCATCATCACCATATTCCCAGCATTGCTACTTACCTACTTACTACTTATCATTACTTATCACTACTTACTTTCATTGTCACGATTACTACACACGATTACCAGTATCACCATTAATACGACATTACTAATGCATTACTAAAGATTCATTGCGCATTACGCCCATTACTGTGTACTATCACGCATTACTACTACTTATCATTTACTACATTA